CTCTCAAAATTGATCCCAACTTGGAGAGACTGGAGGCAGCTGTGAAGAAACTTGATAAAGTTTCAGATGAGGTCAGTACTTTCCTTCATCTCATCGAAAACGCAAAGCAAGAGCAGCAGGAGCTGGAGCTCAAGTTGTACAGAGATCGTGAAACAGGATGCTTGCCTAAAAATGATCTCATCGGTCGACGCAAGGAGAAGGATTTTGTTATGCAGTGGTTAAGGAAGCCAACAAATAAAGATCCAAATCATACTTTGTACAAAAATATTTCTCTTCTATCCATAGTGGGCCATGGTTGCATGGGCAAGACAACTCTTTTACAACACATCTATGAAGATCTGAAAGAAGAATTTGAACTGAAAATGTGGGTTTGTGTTTCCAACCACTTTGATGCAAAAAAGGTCATTGCCGATATGTTGGAATGTCTTAACAAGGAGAGGCCTCGTTTGGAGTCACTCGCCGCTTTTCAAGAGAGTCTTAAAGCTGTCGTACAATCCAAAAGGTTCTTGCTTGTTCTGGATGACATTTGGGAGGAAGATATGAGCAAATGGGAGAATGTACTCTGCCCTCTAGTTTACGGAGGTTTGGGAAGTAAAATTTTGTTGACTACCCGGATGGATTCAGTTGCATCTGAGATTGCAAAGGTTATTAAAAAGAAGATGGAATCACTGAGAATAAAGGGGTTGGAGGAAGATGTGTGTTTGAAGCTACTCAACACCCATGCATTTCTTGGTGTAGCGAACCTTGGTTCCCATAAAAAATTAATAGACATTGCTAGTTCGATAGTTAAAAAGCTTTCAGGATCTCCATTAGCCGCGAAGGTCATCGGTGGTGTTCTCAATTCTAACATGAACGAAACCTTTTGGAAGAACATTTTAAATACTACTGATATTCTAAACGTAAAATTAGAACCGGGGCACAATAACATTTTGCCTATCTTAAAATTGAGTTTTACGTTCCTCCGACAACCTCTACAAAATTGTTTTGCATTTTGTGGCATATTCCCACAAGATCATGAGTTTGATAAAGATGATTTAGTCCGAATGTGGATTGCATTGGGTTTCATTCAGGAATCTTCTATTGAAGGAGAGACTTTGGAAGCTATTGGAGGAAGGTATTTTGATGTTTTGGTCAGAAGATCTTTCTTTGACGAGTTTCAGGATGACAAAAGAATATACTATAAAATGCATGATTTATTACATGATTTGGCACAGTCTATTTCTTCGGAGGAATGTTGCGGATTTGTGGGAGATAATGTATTATCTTTTAAAATTCCTAACAATGTTCGACATTTATTTGTTAAAACTGGAAATCCAGAAGTGTTGAGAATGATCAAAGATGTAAAGAATCTACATTCACTTTTTTTTATTAATGGAAATGTTTTTGAAGATTTTACTGAAGTATTTACTGAAATTTTCAAGGCATCAAGATGCATTCGTTTGTTGTTCATAGACTCTCCACAACAGATAAAGATGTTTGAGGCTATTAAAAATTTGAGACATCTTCGATATTTGAATTTTAATGGAAGTCTCACTCAGATGCCAAGATCTCTAAGCAGTCTTTATCATTTGCAGTTCATAATCTATAACAATTGTGTTGGAGGAACTTGCTCTGATGATTTCTTGCCAAGCGATTTGAGTAATCTTTCTAATCTGCGTCACTTGAAATTGCCCCTGAATGCATTTTCTAGAGTACCTGGAATTGGGAAATTAAGGTCACTTCAAGAACTAAATGAGTTTAATATTAAGAATGAGAATGGTTATACAATTGGTGAGTTGGAACATATGAGCGAGTTGCGCAAATTAAAAATACATTTTCTGGAAAATGTGATGGATGCTAGAGAGGCCCGCAATGCAAAATTATTTGAGAAGAGAAAACTCAAAGATTTATTCTTGAACTGGGGCAATACTGTTGATGAATGGAACCCAGACATGGGAGTTGGAAGCCGACGGAACATTGTCAATTCTGACTTAGATGTGAATGTGCTTGAAAATCTTAAACCATACGAAAATCTAAAGAGATTGTCCATAGTTTCATACAAGGGCGAAAGCTCTGCAGAATGGATGTACAATGCAGATTTGATCTCCAATCTGGAGTACATCAGTCTGAACGGGTGCGCGAAGTGGGAAACTCTTCCACCTTTTGGGCAGTTTCCCCACCTCAAGTCGTTGTACCTTTGTAACATGCCAAAAGCAAAGCGGCTTGATTATAAATTCCATGGGAATGACAAGGTTTCTGTGTTTCCATCGTTGGAGGTGCTAAATATGGAGGGATTACAAGCATTGGAGGATTGGTTTGATGGAGCAGGAGCAGCAGCATATGACCATTTCTTTCCTTGCTTAACTGAACTCTTCCTCCATAACTGCCCAAATCTGCAGGAGTTGCCCTATTTGCCTCCTAAGCTCAAGAAAATGAAGATACAAAACATCGGATGGAAGGCTGCTTTGAATTGCAAGCAAGGCTCTAACAGCTGTTGTGGCAATTCAAAATCCATTCCCCTTGAAAGTTTAGAGGTCCTTTCGTGCCCAAACATCACAACTCTTCTTCAGGTGGATGTAAGACTCGAAGCACTGAGAAAATTGAGAATTGAAGGTTGCCCCTATCTGATTTCTCTGGGTGGACTGCAACAAGTGGATAGTGGCATTGAGAAATTCCAGCTTATTCTCAGTGAAGTTGTTATAGATGACTCATCCATGCTGCCAACGGTAAGTATGGCGGCCTCCTTGGAGAAGCTTGCAATTTGTAATGATGATGTGCTGGTTTCTTATACAGTTGAGATGGAGCAGTGGTTCGTGCAAGTTAGCTCATCCCTTCGTGGGTTGAGCTTTGAAGGCCTCAAATCCCTGCAGTCTCTCCCATCCTCCTTGGAACGCCTCTCTTCACTTAAGATTCTACGTGTCAAAGATGTTCCTCAGCTCCAGCAGCTTCTACACATCCCCGCCTCCTTGGAACAATTGCATCTTAATTGCCTGGAATCATTGCAGTGCCTGCCATCTTCTTTGTCGGCTATCTCATCCCTCGAGGATCTAGAATTAGATAGCATTCCACTCCTCAAATCATTGCCAGACCTCCCTCCCTCTCTGTCTCGTCTTAAAATAAATGAGCTTGATAACCTACAGTGCCTGCCATCTTCTTTGTCGGCCATCTCATCCATCAAGTATCTAAATTTAGGTAGAATTCCAGTCCTCAAATCATTGCCAGACCTCCCTTCCTCCTTGGATTCACTGTCTCTATGGAGCTTTGATAACCTAGAGTGCCTGCCATCTTCTTTGTCGGCCATCTCATCCCTCAAACGTCTATCGTTATGTAACATTCCACTCCTCAAATCATTGCCAGACCTCCCTTCCTCCTTGTCTAGACTGGTTATAGTAAATTGTCATCTAAAGTTGATAAAGCGATATAAAATACTTTCAGGCTCTGAATGGCACAAGGTCGCACACATTCCTCGTGTCCTATTTGTGTAATTGGCATCATTCCAACTCAATCTCTTCCCATCAATATGTGAATATGTGAGGTGAGGAATTGTATTCATGTCATGCTATACTATGCACAGACTTATTTATGATTGTAATAACTAATATCTGACTGATTTTGATGAACAATGGTTTGGTCTTAGGAATTTCGATGTCAGTATTAATTTTATTTAAGAGTTGTTGTATTTGTATGGATTAGATGGAGTCTTATACAGCATTAAAGTTAAAATATTGATGGTTTCCTCTTCTGAAACTGTAATATATATAAATATATTTGTTTGGTTACATGGATTTACTTCACAAAAATGATTGCAATGACATTAAAATCTAGAAGTTTTTACGTGCACCGAAACCGTGCTTTTTACCTACAACACATAAGTATGTCTGATCAAAATTCTTTCAAGATGAATTGTCATTTATAATTGGTTTAAAATAAGTAGGATGTAAATTTCAAATAATGAATCATATATCACACTAATCTCAAAGTAAAATAAAAATATGATAAACTCATTCTCACTCAAATTCTCCATACTATTGGTTGATAATACTTGGTATGACTTCATATTTTGTGGATTTATGGAGTGGAAAGCATGATAATATTTAATACTATATGAGATTTAGTAGCAAGTAATTCTACTTCATAACATCAATATATACTCTTCTCAAATTTCATACAAAAAAAAAATATGAATCATTTTCATTAATACATTATTTTCAAACTACTTTTCCTCAAGGCTTAAATATGAAAGACAATTGGAATACATTTGACATCTTATTTTTGAGGTAAGACTTCAAGACTTACTAGTTAAAAGCCTTATAGGAAGTGTGAGATAGCGAGTTGACTTAGAAGTGAAATGGATTCATTATATAGGAGGATTTTGTGTTTCAATGAGGAAGGGGCAGAAGTGCGAACGTGTGTTTTATAGAAGAAATGATATAAAAATTACAATTTGGAAGCTTTTATTCTGTCTCCTTTACCTCTAATAAATCCAAATGATTCTTAATATTGATATTACTAATAGTTTTGGAGTAAACAAAAATTGATATAAAAATTTTCTTACGAAGAACTTTGACTGTCTTCAAATAATTTTTTTATGAAGAATTTTGATGTTTTCAATCAACAATCTAAGGCCTCGTAGAATCTGGAGAACTGCTTGGTGACGGAGCATTTGACGATGCTTGACAGTTTTATATTTGGCGACGAAGCATTTTCGAAATGTCTCCAATTGTTGTTTCATAAGAACCGTGAATTTTCGTCATTTTAGAATGAAGACGGCGAGGCCCGTTCCGCCGCATGACTTTTGGAGGAGCTTCCATATCAGTCATCTCAATATGATTATGAAATGTTCATCATTGTCCCCCGCCTTTAAAAGAAAATTCATCTAAGCTGCCCTCATAATATGTGATATTCTTTTGAATGTCTTTTATTCTATAATGTCTCATAATAGAAAACATAGTTTGACCAATTTCACCTTATCTGTCTTCTTCTTTTCGTTTGGCGTTATGATCTATTTATAAATTATTATTTTAGTTGATGATAATTAGAATGTGCAACTTTAAATAAAGTTATGCGCATCATTCGAAAATCATAGTAAAATTATTATCTTTGTTGTGTGCTACAAAATCAATATTAATAGATTCATAACATCATTCCTTGAATACTATCATTTGTTGGCACCAAGTAAGTTTTATTCAGTGTGGATTCATTTGTCATATGGTAATAGTATTTTACTTAAAATAAAGTTAATTTGTTGAAGCTTAACAACAACAATTAATATCTCTTTGAAAAGATAATCTAGAATTGCAATTCATTTCAACAATTCATGTATAAAAAGTCAAACATTATGATAAATAAAGAGTAAATTAAAAAGTAGTATTGAGCAATTATAATATAAAAGCTATTTTATTTTAAATTCTCATAATTAGTCAATTGTTTAGTTATAACATAGAAATAAAATAGATTACATATATAAAATTTATGCTCAAATTTTTTATAAAACATTTTAGTTAAATCTAGGGTATTATGATGAGCTACTTTCAAGATTTCATTTGTTACAAACGTATGAAAAATCTAAAACAAATATTATAAAAATATACACATTATTTTTGTGATCGGAGATCCTTGTCATAATTATTTATGACGAGATATTGAATGACCGGCATTGCAACAAGAGAAACAAGCGCAAAAGGATCCCAATCATAAATTATTTGAGAGAAGTCACTTGGTTACTAGCATTGCGACGAGGGAATCGATCAGATCATTAATATGCGATAGGAAGATTAATGCCTTTGCACGACTTTTTGGTGATGGTTATTTTGAGTGCTTGTTTATTTGGTCATAGTCTGATGGATCACTCAATTTGTTTACTTGGCTAGGTTGACCTTTTTGCTTGTGTCGGGTGATATGCACCCGATCGGCCTTCAACTTTAGTTAAGGAGGCTACATTTGGTCAAGAAGGTGAGCCCTTTGGTCTTCCATCGGTGATCCCTCCCTTGTTGCAGTTCATTTTATTTGGACCATTGAAACTCCTTGAGATTCATTTATTTGGACCCCTGTCTCTCCTCTTAATTTTGATATGTGCAATGGCTGATTGGTTTGTATGAATGGGGCTATCAAAATGGCTCATTAGATGGTTTGTTCATGTTAAACGTTGACCATCTAATGATCCAGTTAGAAGTGTAGATGTTTTAGATTCGACTTGTTGAAAAAGACAAAGGTAGATCTAAAAAGACTTGGGCATATTGTATAAAAAATGATCTTAATTTATTAGAATTAAATTAAAACATAATACTCAATTAAACTCAATGGAGAAAAAAGATTCATGTAGGCGACCTCACTTAGTGGGATAAAGACTTTTTATTGTTGTTGCTGTTGTTTATATTAATATTTTTAAATTAATATTTAGTTATTAATTAAAGAAATGCTAATTAAATTAAATTTAATTTTAATTGAAGTTTTTCTTAATTATTATTGTTTAGTTTATGAAAGTAATTAAATAATATAAATTTAAATCACAAACTGTATTAAAAGAGTTGTTTGAATTAATATTTTCCTTGTTGAATAATATTAGTAATCCAAGATCACTGCTCCTTAATTTATTACACAGTAGAAATCACATCCTAAGTTAACCCACATACTTAAGCGAAGCATCCCTTCCATCCTCTACAACGCATCCATTATAGCAAGCCACTACTAACTACATCAATGGCTCTACGTCAATGAGAGTGAACAGGAAACCACGGTGCAAATCATCCATACTTTTATCTTAATAAAGATACTTCACGCATCCCCTCCATCGCCCCCCACACATCCTTCATAGCAAAGCCACCTACCTCCGTACTCTCTTCTCTTCCTCTCTTCCACCGTCTCTCCTCCTCCTAACCTTGATCTGTGCCATGGCAGACTCGTTTGTTGACCCAATCGTCGATAAGATCTTCGAAGCTTGCTCTGTTTACCTTAAAGATCAATATAGATGGCAGACGGGCATGAAGGAGGAGCTTGAAAGGCTGCGAGAGAACCAGCCCAAGATCCGAGCTGTTGTCTATGCTTACACCCGAGCACAGATCAGAGATCGCAACCCCGATCTCAACAGATGGATATGGCAGCTACGAGATGCCATCGATGAGGCAGATGATGTTCTTGATGACTTTGAGTAGACTTTGAGTACACGAGAAGCTTGAAGAACAGCTTACCAGAAACAAGAAGCAGCAAAAGGTTATGAAGGTTGTGAAGAGAATTGGCAAACGTGCTCTCACGATGGATCGCAGTTTGAAGAGGCTGGAGAAGGACTAGAGGCTGGAGAAGGTTGTGAAGAAACTTGATAAAGTTTCAGCTGAGGTGAGTACTTTCCTTCCTCTCTTAGAAAACGCAAAGCAGGAGCAGCAGGAGCAGGAGCTTCAGTTGGGCCAAGATCGTGAAACAGGATGCTTGCCTAAAAATGTTCTCATCGGTCGAGGCGAGGAGAAGGATTTTGTTATGCGGTGGTTGAGGAAGCTAACAAATGAAGATCCAACTCATATTGTTAGCCCTACTTTGTACAAAAACATTTCTGTTCTATCCATTGTGGGTCATGGTGGCATGGGCAAGACATCTCTCTTACAACACATCTATGAAGATGTGAAACAAGAATTTGACCTAAAAATGTGGGTTTGTGTTTCCGATCACTTTGATGCAAAAAAGGTCACTGCCGACATGTTGGAATGTCTTAAAGAGGAGAGGCCTCGTTTGGAGTCACTTGCTGCTGTTCAAGGGAGTCTTAAAGCTGTCGTGCAATCCAAAAGGTTCTTGCTTGTTCTGGATGACATTTGGGAGGAGGAAAATATGAGCAAATGGGAGAATGTACTCTCCCCTCTAGTTCACGGAAGTTTGGGAAGTAAAATTTTGCTTACTACCCGGATGGATTCAGTTGCATCAACGATTGCAAATGTGATTAGAAAGAAGAAAGAAATTTTGATATTACAGGGCTTGGAGGAAGATGTGTGTTTGAAGCTACTCAACACCCATGCATTTGTTGGTGTAGAGAACCTTGGTCCTCATAAGAAACTAACGCATATTGCTAATTTGATAGTTAAAAAGCTTTCAGGATCTCCGTTGGCAGCGAAGGTCATCGGTGGTGTTCTCAATTCTAACTTGAATGAGAGCTTTTGGACGAACATTTTAAATAGTACTAATGTTCTAAGCGTAGAACCAGAACCGAGTTGCAATAACATCTTTCCCATCTTAAGATTGAGTTTTACGTTCCTCCCACAGCCTCTACAAAATTGTTTTGCATTTTGCGGCATATTCCCGCAAGATCATGAGTTTGATAAAGATGATTTAGTCCGAATGTGGATTGCATTGGGTTTCATTCAGAAATCTTCTATTGAAGGAGAGACTTTGGAAGATACTGGAGGAAGGTATTTTGATGTCTTGGTCAGAAAATCTTTCTTTGATAAGTTTCAGGAAGATTTTCTTTCAGAAATATACTATAAGATGCATGATTTATTACATGACTTGGCACAGTCTATTTCTTCAGAGGAATGTTTTAGATTTGTGGGAAATAATGTTTCATCTGTTAGAATTCCTAAAACAATTCGACACTTATTTGTTGAAACTGAAAATCTTGAAGTGTTGAGAATGATCAAAGATGTTAAAAGCCTACATTCACTTTTTCTTACAAATAAAAGACAGGGTCAATATTTTACTGAAATACTTGCTGAAATTTTTAAGGCATCAAGAAGCATTCGTTTGTTGTTCATACACTTTCCAAGTCAGAAAAAGATGTCTGAGACTATTAAAAATTTGAGACATCTTCGATATTTGAATCTTATTGTAGATCTCACTCAGATGCCAAGATCTCTAAGCAGTCTTTATCATTTGCGGTTCATAATCTATAAAAAGGTGAGTTGGGCACATTACTCAGATGATTTCTTGCCTGGCGATGTGAGTAATCTTTCTAATCTGCGTCACTTAGAATTCCCTGACGCTGTGAGTGTACCTGGAATTGGGAAATTAAGGTCACTTCAAGGACTGCATGAGTTTAATGTTAAGAATGAGAAAGGTTATAGAATTGGGGAGTTGGAACATTTGAGCGAGTTGCGCAAATTAAAAATAAATTTTCTGGAAAAGGTGAAGGATGCTAGGGAGGTTCGCACTGCAAAATTATGTGAAAAGGAAAATCTCACAGATTTATTCTTGAATTGGGGCAAAACTGTTGATGAATCAGAAGGGGAAGTTGGAAGCCTACCGAATATTGCCAATTCTGACTTAGATGTGAATGTGCTTGAAAATCTTGAGCCATACAAAAATTTGAAAAGATTGTCCATAGTTTCATATGAGGGTGCAAGCCCCGCAAAATGGATGTACAATGCCGATTTGATCTCCAAACTAGAGCACATCTGTCTGAGCGAGTGCCCGGAGTGGGAAACTCTTCCACCTTTTGGGCAGCTTCCCCACCTCAAGTTGCTGTTCCTTTATAACATGCCAAAAGCAAAACTGCTTGATTATAAATTCCATGGGAATGACAAGGTTTCTGTGTTTCCATCGTTGGAGGTGCTCTATATGGAGGGATTACAGGTATTGGAGAATTGGTTTGATGGAGCAGCAGCATATGACTGTTTCTTTCCTTGCTTAACCGAACTCTTCCTCAAAAACTGCCCAAATCTGCAGGAGTTGCGCTATTTGCCTCCTAAGCTCACGAACATGCATATAGAAAAAGTTGGATGGAAAGCTGCTTTGAACTGGAAGCAAGGCTCCAACAACTGTTGCTGCACTTCAAAATCCAATCCCCTTGAAAGTTTAGACGTCCTTTCATGCCCAAACATCACATCTCTTCTTCAGGCGGATGTAAAACTTGAAGCACAAGCACTGATTCTTCAGGCGGATGTAAAACTTGAAGCACTGAGAAAATTGAGAATTGTTTCTCTGGGCAATCTGATTTCTCTGGGTGGACTGCAACAAGTGGAGAGTGGCATTGAAAAATTCCAGCTTATTCTTGGTGAAGTTGTTATAGATGACCCATCCTTGTTGCCAACGGTAAATATTGCCTCCATGGAAAACCTCACAATTTGTAATAATGATGTGCTGCAGTCTCTACCTTCCTCCTTGGAACGCTTCTCTTCACTTAAGATTCTATGTGTTGAAAAAGTTCCTCAGCTTCAACAGCTTCTACACATCCCCGCCTCCCTGAAAGAATTATATCTTGCAGACCTGGAATCATTGCAGTGCCTGCCAACCTCTTTGTCGACCATCTCGTCCCTCAAGAAATTAGTTTTAGATCGCACTCCACTCCTCGATTCATTGCCAGATCTCCCTTCCTCTTTGAAGTCACTGTCTCTACGGCGTCTTGATAACATACAGTGCCTGCCATCTTCTTTGTCGGCCATCTCATCCCTTAAGGATCTACGGTTAGATAGCATTCCACTCCTCAAATCATTGCCAGACCTCCCTTCCTCCTTGTATTCACTGTCTCTATGTAGTCTGGATAACCTACAGTGCCTGCCATCTTCTTTGTCGGTCATCTCATCCCTCGTGCTTCTAGATTTAGATAGCATTCCACTCCTCAAATCATTGCCAGACCTCCCTTCCTCCTTGGATTCACTAACTCTATATAAGCTTGATAACCTAGAGTGCCTGCCATCTTCTTTGTCGGCCATCTCATCCCTCACCCATCTAGAATTTAATAGCATTCCACTCCTGAAATCATTGCCAGAACTCCCTCCCTCCTTGAATTCATTGTCTCTAAGTGGTCTTGATAACCTACAGTGTCTTCCATCTTCTTTGTCGGCCATCTCATCCCTCAAACGTCTAAGTTTAGACAGCATTCCAGTCCTCAAATCATTGCCAGAACTCCCTCCTTCCTTGAATTCACAGACTCTATGTAAGCTTGAAAACCTACAGTGCCTGCCATCTTCTTTGTCAGCCATCTCATACCTCAACCGTCTAGAATTAACAAACCTTCCACTCCTCAAATCATTGCCAGAGCTCCCTTCCTCCATGACTTCATTGATTCTACAGAGTCTTGATAGCCTACAATGCCTGCCATCTTCTTTGTCAGTCATCTCATCCCTCCAGAATCTAGAATTAAGAAGCATTCCACTCCTCAAATCATTGCCATACCTCCCTCCCTCCTTGTGTTCATTGGCTATATCAAATTGTCATCCAAAGTTGATGAAGCGTTATAAAAAACTTTCGGGCTCTGATTGGCACAAGATCGCACACATTCCCGAGGTCAGTATTGATTATATGTAATAGTTGTTATGTGTGCAATTGGTGTCACTCCAAATCAATCTCTTCCCATCAATATGTGAATATGTGAGGTGAGGACTTGTGATTTTGATGAGCAACTGTTTGGTCTTAGAAATTTCGAATTTTGTACTTCAACACCATAAGTGTGATTTAGCATTTTATTTAATTATTTCACTGATTTTATTTTATTTTGTTTGATTTCTCAAATGCTTATAGGTTAGATTTTCTAATTATTGGCAATTTGTTGGTACTTTTGTTTCTTGAAACAATTAAATTATAAAATGAATGTTTTTCCTTTAATTTTTAATTCAAATTGTAGTTAAAACATGATTTGTGATTGTGGGTAGATAAAGGAGTCTTGCATAGCATTAAAGTTAAAATATTGATGGTTTACCCTTCTGAAATTTGTATGTAAATATAATATATGTTTGCTCTACAAAGATGACTACATTGACATTAAAAATTAAAACATTGATTTTTATTTTATATTAATATTTATGTTTTTTTTTTAATTTGCATCCTTTATTCTTGAGTTTGTGACCTGAATTTTATTGTGTTTTGACTGAATGGTTTTTCATATGATACATATAGTGTAACTAAAAATTTATTTGAGTTATACATTTGATGCAATCGACATTCATTAAAATTGGGCAAAATTAAGAGCTTTAAAACTGAGAATATGTGAGAAATACATCCGTAATTCTATACATATTACTTGTTAGGAATATATCGTGAATAGCTCCTAAATTTATCGTACTTGGGATTAATTAGAAACTAAACAGCAATGCTGAATAATAGGATTGTACCGATCGAGAAAATCAGAACAAAACTTGAACAGAAGGCACAATCAAAGCAACCAAGATAACACAAAAGGATTTTATGTGGAAAAATCCGAGAATAGAAAAAATTCATGAAACCACACCATCAAAAATTTCACTATGAATTTCATAAAGTTTTTACAGAGAACTCACAGTTTTCTCTCTACACATAAGAAAACTTGCAGAACTCGTTGAACACTCTTCCTTCCGATCCGATGTGAGAAGCGCCCGTCAAAATCGCAAAAGTCCTCCTCTCCGACATTTCTCACATTCACTCTAATTTCTATAAAAAAACACTCAACTTGTAGGAACTTCACACGCTGGAAGAAGTACATTCGCCGAGAGGAGGACTAATTCCATACTTAATATCAAATTCTTTCAAGTATTACAAATATACATATGCCACCTTGCCAACTCATATTGGCATTACTTTTGAAAAAAAAAATTTGAATCAAGATATCTAATCATAACAATATGAATTGCCCTTTAAATTTGCTTTAAAATAAGTTCGATATAAATTTTAAATAATGAATCGTATATCACACTAGTCTCAAAGAAAACTAAAATATGATAAACTAATCCTAACCCAAATTTTCCATACTACTGGTTGATAATACTTGGTATTATTTGATATTTTGTGGTTTTATGTGATACATATGTAAATGAATAAGAATCAAGAGACAATAATAGCACAAGTAATAAAAGAAATAAAATAAAATCAAGAGTTTTATATCCTTAGATACACTAATTGAGAAATTATATACCATAAAAGTAAAACAAGAGTTTTATAAGCTTTGTAAATACACGAGTTTTGGGCGTTATATATATATATGCGTGTGTGTGTGTGTGTAATTACGTTGAAAACTATTGGCAGTGAGTAAAATGGGAAAGGATTCACCAAACAACTGCATGGTTTATAGTGATCAGACATTTTTAATGTAAAGTTTGTGGTGATGGTCTTTTACCGGTATTTCATTCATCCCCTTCTCACCATAACCAAGTCCGGGAGGAACAATTACAGTTCTCTACAGAAATAAAGACAGAAACATCAGAAATAATACATGAAGCAAAAACATCAAACGAAGATGTGAAAACAGACATAATAAATCAAAGACATCGAGATCGCGGTACTATTTCTGTATGGCATGATTTAGATATCCATGTTATATTCAAAGTCATCTTGGTTAGCAGTATAACACAATTAATAAGTAGGGGCATTTATATACATAGCTAAACATGCATATTTACATGCGTAACAACCAAAAAATACCACAATAACTATCTTTTTAGAAGTTAAATGTATCTTTGCATGCATAGGTTTATGATAACAAAATGTTATAATTGTAAAAATCAAACTTTGGGTATTAGATATGTAAATACATAAGAATTGTATGAAAAGTAAGCAAATATTCATAATAATTAATATTATTATTTGTGACCTTTTTTTATTTGTTAAACACCAATTATGTCCAAACAAAATGAAAACAATTGAGGGTTGATGTTAACTTGTCAAAATTAGTGAAATTATGCCGGCTCAGAATTTTGTTAGCGTAAGAGCATTTCTCAGAAGTCACAAACTTGATCTAATCGGATGGTGGTGAGAAGTGCGTGAGAGGATATTAGAACATTAACCTCATATGTCATACTACAATTTAATTTAGTTGCGGTGAAAATTAAAGGTTCATTAGGTTAAATCTAAAAGCAGATAAAAATTTTAATGGGAGAAAAAAGATCAGAAGAAGAAAATATTTGCTTGCTTACAAAAAATTGATTGTAGTGAGCAATATATATATATATATATAAAACTTTTAGTGATTTATATGATAGAATTGATACTAAAGAAGGAAAAATTAGATAACCAAAATATCTAAGAGATGATATTTCTAGAGATCTTCATCAAATTAGATGCATTCTAACATTAAGATAATAGGTTCATAAAGTAAATAAGATCAATTTAGATGTATTAGAATTGAAGATAACATAAATGCTACTTAGAAAAATTATTAAATTAGAATTGTAAGAAATAAATAATGTTGGCAAATCATAATGAATAAAAAAATGAAGTATATTATAGATCGATTAAAAAAACATGTAAGGAGATTTAGAAAATTATGAGGGACATTGCAGTGGTTTGATTAACAGATAGTTTTGATAGAATTTTGAAAATTAAAGTGATGAAAAAAGATTAGAAAAGAAGCATTTGATATTGATATTTAACAAGGAACATATGCAAGATTGTACTAATTATACAGGAATCAAGACTTATAAGGCTTGCAATGAAGCTATGGAGAGGGTAATGGAATATATGCTTTGAAAAATTAATTCAATTTTGATGAACCATGAAGATCTACTATAAAAGCATATTTATGGTAAGACAATTAATAAAAAAAATATAAATAAATAAATGAGAGGGTAATGGAATATATGCTTTGAAAAATTAATTCAATTTTGATGAACCATGAAGATCTACTATAAAAGCATATTTATGGTAAGACAATTAATAAAAAAAATATAAATAAATAAATAATCTTGACATGATTTTTACTGATTTTAAGAAGGCATATGATAGAATATCATGAGAATTGATTAACCTTGAATTAAGACAGAAATGGTGTGTCATTGATTTGTTCACATCAATAAAAATTTGTATGATAGAATATTGACTAATGTAATAAGTAATTAAGGAACAACCTAAGATTCTTCAATTATAAGAAGTTTACATTTAAAGAAAATTATGGTTATAACTTTATGTAGATGAAATGATGAAAAAACTTAGCTTGTTCATTATTTTAATGGGTATTAATATACAAAATAAATATAACAAAAGAAAAAAATAATTACTATAAAAAGCATAAAAATTGCCTTTTGCTAAATGTCATCTAATAATTTAAACGTCACCGATTGATGCCAAGGAAGCAATCCATGTGCACTTTCTTTTTTTTTTTGTATATGAATCCTTGAGCGATGTATTTCATTATAAGTAATAAACAGTATAAGAGAATTGTTCGCGAACAATAAGCTTTTTTGAAAGCCCTAGTTAGGACATATAGAGTGCATATCAATTCATCTTTTATTTCTCTTTTATAAAATGTTTTTCCGCTTAATTGTGTTTGTATGATTATGGCAAACTAGGTTAGCAATACTAATGACAGATGTATTACCATAGTATATCTTCATAATTTTTTTTCATTTGAACTTTAAGTCTAGTATGATCATGATGCATAGTAGCTCACATATTCCTTGAGCAGCAATCACTCTATATTCATATTCAACACTAGATTTTAATAAATGTTTTTCTTAAGATGGTAGAAGGATGGTAGAGGTCTACCATTCCCAATTTGTTTATAATTTTTATGAATGAGGGGAACAATATGTCAACAAGTTGTCTTTCTATTGGAACAAGGGTTGTAAACGAGTCAAGCTTGAGTGAGCTCAAACTTGGCTCATGTTCGGCTCGTGCACGAAATTGCTCGTGAATATTGTGTCCATGTTCAGCTCAATTTACATATTCTTATTCGTGTTCGGCTCGAAGTTGACCCATTTAAATTAATTAGAAAAATAAATATAGGGTGTTGGAATAAAACTTGCACAATTCATGTGCAATGGAGGATACATAACCATGACTACACAAGTTGTTATGATTTAAATATAGACATAAATACATATAATATACTATTATATAAATAATATCTATAATTTCTTATTTAAAACGAGCTGAACAAGATCGGACAGAGGGTTGTTCGCGCTACTTAACGAGCCGAATACGAGTTGTTCGCGAGCAATAAGCTTTTTTGACAGCCCTAGATAGGACATATAGAGTGCATATCAATTCATCTTTTTATTCCTCTTTTATAAAAAAAATTTTCCGCTTAAATGTGTTTATATGATTATGGCAAACTAGGTTAACAATACTAATATCAGATGTATTACCATAGTATATTTTCATAAATTTTTTTTTCATTTGAAATTTAAGTCAAGTATGATCCTGATCCATAGTAGCTCACATATTCCTTAAGAAGCAATCGCTCTATATTCATATTCAACACTAGATCTTAATAAATGTTTTTCTTATTCCTATAAATTGTGACATTTCCTCCAAACAACGCATACTAACCTAAAGTAGATCGTCTATCCATAAGCGATACAACATAGTTTGCATCACTATATTGTTGAATTTATAAAATATTTTGCAATTTATACGAAAAAAATTTCTTTTTCTAGACTTACCAAACATCTAAGATTTTTGCAACCAATTTTAAAGTGAGAGTCTTTAGATTTGTACAAGAATTGACTCACACGATTTATTGTGAATGTAATATCAGATCGGGTGCGAGCTACATAAATCAAAATTTCACCCTTATGACTGGTTCAGTCATTCTTCATCTATGTACAATTTCTAGCCTTGTTCAATTGGGTTTCACATGGCTTGCACGCAATCATTTTTGTTTTGTTTCTTTTAGAAGATCCATAATATATTTTCTTTGTGAGAGAAATATTCCCTATTCAAACTGACTAATTTATATGCCCAAAAATATCAATGTTTGCAAAGCTCTTTGATTTCAAATTGTTTAGCAAATTCATTTCTAAAGACCTCATTCTCTAATTGTCATCATTTGTAATAATCAAATCGTCAAACATATATAATGAGAATTAAAAAATTTCTATCAATGAAAAAATCTTTATGAAGAGAGTAAGATATCAGTGGCTTGTTTTGTATCATCATATCTTTTCTAAATCTATCAAACCAAGTTCTTGGGGATTCATTCATTCCATATAGTGCTTTTTTTAATTTGAACATCTTGTTCTTTGTGAAAACATTTTCAAACTCGAGTGATGAATTTGTATTTTTTTTTCTTCGATATCTAAATATATGAAAGCAATTTTCACAATGAATTGTTGCATAAACTAGCTAAAATTAGTAGCTAGAGAAATCAGAATGCGGATTATATTCATTTTAACACTCGAAGAAACTTTTTTTTATAGGCAATTCCATAGGATTGAGTGTATCATTTAACTACTAATCTTGTCTTATATTGTTCTAGACTCTCATCTTCTATATACTTTTTATAAGAAAATATCACTTGCATTTCGCCTTTTTTTAATTTTCGTAGGTCCAAAATCTCTTAAATTTGATTATGATTCAAGAAATTTGTCTCCTCTCCTAAGCTCCTCTCTTATTCTCATTTTAATGCCTTAGATAAATTTTGTGGTATTGGTGGAATTAGAGTTGATATTTGTAAGAAAAAGGCTTATACGTAGGGGAAAATTCTGAAATGATATATACTGGGAGATGGGTATAATGAGTGGTGATGGAATGATCGTTGTACATGATAACGATTCTGAGTTATTAGCTTGTTTGAGATTTAGAATAGGTTGTTTTTTGTGTACAGATCCGAAGGAATACAGTTTAGGATATGTTGTATTTTGTGTCGTAGCGATGTCAAGATGAAATATAGTAGTTTCATCAAAATTATCATTAAGTTTGACATTCTCCCCATGAAGATAATTTAGAAAAAAAAATATTTTTCATTAAATGTGACATCCATTGAACTAAGAAATCATTTTGTGATATGTTGATAACATATCCTTTTTTAGGTTGAGAATACCCACCGAATACGCACTTGAGAGCTCTCGAATCTAAATTTCATGTGTTTTTTTGGATATGAACATAGGCAATACACCGGAAGACTTTTGAAGGAATCTTTGAAAACTGATCTGTGGGGAAAAATTCTGCCAGATAATTTAAGGGATTTTTGAGACAATCACTTTTTAAGGATATTTCACTAATTTTCTTTTAACCACTTTTTTTTTTGGAGTATCAGGACATTAGAATTGGTGGATGATACCCTCTTTATGAAATAATCATGATAATGTGTAATTAAAATAATCACAGGTATTATCATTAGAAAGATTTTAATATTTGTATTAAATTTGTTTATCATCATCGTAGTAAATGTGGGAAAATATCGACATCAAATTTTTGCTTGATATGATATACCCAAGTCATTCGAGTGCCGCCATTAATGAAAACGACAAATCCCGTAGCACTAGAAATATTGTGGATGTTGGAGGGTCCCCAAAAATCAAAGTAAATCAAAACAAAAGTGTAGAGGATCTAAATTATTGTAGGAAAAACAATTCAATGATAGTTTGCAAGTCTCAAAATTAAAATTCTTAATGTTTAAATTAAAAAAAGAAGAAAAATGCATTGAAGGGTTTTAAAGGGGTATATCATAGCCTATAATGTTCTCGAATGATGTTGATATTATCAATAGAAATGAAAGAGCATGATAATCTATTCTGCATCTTAAGGAAATAATAGCCCATTTTTCTCACTAGTTTACACAATCATCTTTTCCTTAGTAAGGTTTTAAATTATACAAAAATCAATAAAAAAATGTGATTTTGTAGTTATGATCTTCAACAATTTTATGGATTGATAAAAGATAGCAAGATAATGAATATGTATGTCATGGCCCGACCCAACATGATGGTAAGTTGACATTGTGGAGTTATTCAAAGAGTGAATTGTACTTCTATCCAGTCGAAGACAGATGCAAGACAAATTCTTCAAGTTTGTGCAAAGAGAGAAGACAATCATGTAATATGAACCAGAGTTCGCTGCACTGTCAAGGTATGCTCTACAACTGATAGTTATTATAGAACAGAAGTTTTGCAAATCCCTTTCAGGATTAAAGGATTCGACCAGTTGTTGATATCTTTGGGGATCGATGACTATTCAGTGTTAGTAGAGCGGGAAGACAAGTAAAGATTGACTTTCAAGTTATTCAGAAGCGTAAGGAGACACACAAGATAAAGAGTTTTGATGAAAGAGAGAGTATGGATCAATCAGAACGATTCAATGTGAAGAAGCCAAAATTCAGTGGTGGCACTTCTCGTAGCACTGTAGTCACTTGTGCTAAATGTGAAAAATAACATAAAAGTGGATGTTTGATGGGCTCTCATTCATGTTACCGGTGTCGTCGGCTTTGACACAGCTAGATATTGTCGTTCATTTGGCCATAAAATATCAGAAGAGTAAAAATCAATTGGAGCTCCTTCATAGAAGACTGCAGGTGGGCAGAGCAGGATAAAGTCTATAGCTTCAGCTCCTAAGGATAGAGTCTATAGCTTCAGCTCCTAACCAAGGTCAATCAAGATAGTCAGTTCGACCTCAAGTTTATTTCCTTACTGGTAAAGAGACTGAAGAACCTTTTGGTGATGTTGATGCTGCTAAGAATTGACGAGTGTTATGTTTTACCACAAGTTATATGAGTTTCATTCAAGTGTATGTCTTTATCAGAGGATTTGTGTTGTTGTTGTCAAGTTACCTCACTTAAAATGTGATGTTATCTTGTTTCAGTTGATGGGGAATGTTAGTTTAGTTATCTAACATCAGACTTTTATTTTATTGTATTCACTTTTCATCTTAATGAATGAGATCTAAACTTCTCAATGACAATTTATGCATAGTTCATGTGTTTCTTGCAATGATTTTAGGCTTGAGGTAAATTAGCAAATTTCGAAGACGAAATTTTTATAAGGATGAGAGATTGTAATAACCAGTTATTAAGCCCCAAATTTTTTAAATTATAGCTGAAGTAGTCCTCATGAAGGAGCACAATTTAGAACAGTTGGGGATAATTTTGGCTCTTCTATAAACTCTGGGACTAAAATGACCCAATATAAATAGTCGGGGACTATTTTGCTCGATAATAATAATTGAATTGGCACGTCTCTTCGGGTTCGACTTTAGTAGTCGAAGAATGTATGCTTCATTTCAAACAGAATGAGATGAGAAGCGAGAAAGACAGAAGCGTGAGAGAGAAGAAGAAAAAAAGAGAAGTTAGAGGGGCAACTTAAGGCTTAACCAAAGAGAAGTTGTGTTGTGCGAGAGAAGAAGGAAGAGGAATGCTCGCCCAAGAAGGACGAAGCCAAATGACACATATGAAGGTAGAAACATGCAACCTTGTACTTCTCCATGCCAGAGAGTGCGTAGGAGGAAGGCAGTGCTAAGGAGAGGGTCGAACTTGTTGCTTAGACGATCCCGCACAAGGAGCAAAGGGAAGAAGAGTCGCTTGCGGGTGAGAAAACTGGTGAGTGGTTTGACTATGTTGGATGTTACCAGGTCAAAGGAGTAAGCATCGAGAGGCTGTGTGGGATAAATCGAGCCAAACCGAAGGAGGAGGCTGCGTCAAGTGCGAGCAAGGGAGGAAGAAGTTCTCGAGCCCTAGCATTCGAGGAGGAAGAACTTAAGCCTTAGCAGAGGAAGATCAGGCTCGTGTGTGCGGGAAGGAGCCAGACCTCACGTGCAGAGGAAGAGGAGGAAGAAGAGGTCACCTATGCATGTTAGGGCTTTTGATCGAGATATTAAAGGTGAATTTTATTTTTTCTTAATTTACTAATATATATATATATATATATATAAGTTTATTATTTAAATGTTAAATTTAAGTGTTTTTGAAATCAAGATCGAAGCTATTAAGTCTCAAATTTAAAGAAAAATAGAGATCAATATTTGTGAGAATAATCAAGATGACTAAGATAAATGTTAGGGTTTATTTATTTTAATTAGTGAATCTGTATACTCAAATTTATGTATTAAAATGTTAAAAATATATTTATTTGAACAGAATTTAAGAGTAAATGTTCAATTTAGAAGAAAAAGAAGAAAGTTGTGATATTAAAAGTGAGTATTCATGCTCTTATGTTATAGTAATAATTTACTTCTTCTCGACCAAATACATTTATTATTATTGTTATTAGTTATATTTATATCATAACATACTCATGATTATGGTTCAATTGAATTTTTGTTCAAATTATAAGAATGATATGTACTTAACATTATTTAAAATATCATAGATATTGAATCTTTTACAAGTATATTACTGTTATGGTATATCAAATGAGAATTAAATAATCTTTATTAGATGGTGATTTTCATAATATGTTTGTATGTGCATATTTGGTTATGATAGAATTTAACCCTTTATAATACTAGCAAGAAAATGATAAAGTATATGAGCATGTAAATAAAAAATGTTATCGATATTGATGTGTTTTAATTGACACAATATTAAACAACGCTCCTGTGACGATTGATATATGCATGTTATTGATATGATGAAATGCATTGAATCTTGTAAATTATCTTGAAAAATTATATCTAAAAAGTAAATTGTTTAATGCTCTTATGTTGATTTCTAGTATCTATGACTAACATACATATCATTCTTTTTTTTTACATTATTATAGTTTAGGATTATGAGTATTCACTAGTTTTGTATAGCTTACTGTTATTTTAAACTATCTGTCACGACCCGATCCGGGGCTTAGAATTAACTAAGACGGGAACATGCGATCAAACGATGGAAATTAAATTTTTTATATTCATTCTCTATAAATAACATTAATTAATTTAAATTAAAGCAATATATTAAAATTGTCTCATTATTAGTTGTCTGCATCTTCTATAAACACTTTCTATTATATCGCTCATCTCTTAATTAATTAAATTAACCTGAAATTTTATTTTAAAATAATAATGAGTTAAACAAGACAGTGAATACTCATAAAGCACAGTAATGCAAGAGAAAAAAAATAATATGCATGTCAATCAAGCTTTTTAATCAATCGATAAAAAACATTTGATGTTATTCAAAGAACCTTATTATATCAATATCATGTTAATATCATATTATATCTGTACAACCGTCTCAAGAGCACCGACTAAAAATTGTGTCAATTAAGACACTTCAATATTAATATCTTTTTAAATATACGTGCACGTGTACGTTAGTGTTCTCCTACTAGTATCATAAAGGAGTTACTCAATCATAGTCAGTCATGTACATATAAGTAGTCAACATAAACACATCATTCATGTATTCACCACTTTCAATTGAACGTATTATATAAAACATACACCAAATACATGAATTTTTATTTTTTTTAAATAAAACATACACCAAATACACCAAATACACCTGAACGTATTATATAAAACATACACCAAATACATGAGCAAGTACCTACAAAAATTCAGAACAATATAACCGATAAAGAAAAAAATATTTCATTCAGAATAAAACATGTGAAAGTATCATTAACTGCAAAAAAATTGAGAAGAAATAAATTACTACTATAGATTAAAAGTACGAGTACTCACCTCGATGTCGATTAATTTATTATTTCTCTAAAAGTCATTCTTCTAAATTTGAAACCCTAAAATAAAAATGGCGGAAATGTAATATATATATATATATATAACATATGAATATTATATATTAATAGAATTCTTATTAAATATTATAATTATTAAACTTACCCTAAGAAAAACTCTTTCAGTCAAGCCCTATACATGTGCAGAGGCAATTCGTTTCTTCCTCTGCGTTCGGCTCCCTCCTGCATGAGATGTCGACGCCTCCTTCCTCCTTCGTATGGCAACAGCGCATGTGTTAGTGCAAGGGAGAGCATTTTCTTCCACTGCACGCAGTAACCAGCTCGCGTCTTCTTCCTTCAATTGCCTCGGGTCGCAGCTTAAATTTTTTGATTAAAAGATGAACAATAAAAGAAAATAAATTTATAGAAGATGCAAATAACCAATAATGAGGTAAATATAATTGTACTGCTTTAATGTTCTTTCTTTAGTGGCTCTTTCTGATATCATAACTAGTTATGATTTAGCGGAAAACAAAAACAAATTTTTATTAATATAGGAATAAGGTTACAACATGACACAAATGGTAAAAAGAAATACAATAATAGATTAATTTTCGGTTCGGGTTGCGGGGTGGGGGTGGGGGGGAAAAGTTGGGGAAGGTTGGGTGGTTGTTTGGGTAGGTTGGAAGGGTTGTAAATGAGTCGGACAACAAGATTATTGTAGGAAAGGGGCGGCAAGATGTGGGTAGATGACTTGGAGGGCTGGGCAACCTAGGTGGTTGTGGGGAGGAGTACAAGTGCTGGAATGAGAGGACTGGATGGCGGGACAATCAATTGTGGTGGGAGTAGAGGTGGCGGCATGGTAGTGGAGGGAGATGGGGGTGGCCAACGACTAGAGAAGTGGTAGAAGGGTTGGGGAGAAGAAAACGAGATTGGAAGGATACAACACCACCTCGGACATGATACAGTCGGAGCACCACCCTTCGTCAGATACAACCCTAACAAAAGGGAAAATGACTCCAAACAGGAAATTTGAAACAAAACAGCTCAAAATTGCCCATTACAAATGGAAAACATCAATTTATAGATTGAATGGAAAAAGATTGATGAAAATCTCTTGAATGGAAAAAGATTGATGTTTGAAATTATTACCTGTTGAATATTATACAAATGACTTTGGGTTTATGAATACTGCAAAATAAAATTTCTTCTAAGAAGATCTTGATATGCTAATTAACTTTTACATTGCACGATGTGACCCACTTTGACATAATAATTTGCATTTGGCCATGCCATGATATTTACTTTGCATGTATCTAGGCAATGAAAATTTTGGAGGAATTAATTTGTTACTAGAGCCACATGAATTGTTATTAAATGGTGACAGAGATTTGGGTAGCTTTAGCCTATAACTGGACCGTTTGCACAACAACTAATGCAGCTCGTATTTGGGACAACTATACACTGCTATGGAATGATAGACACATGAAAATATGGCTTACAAAAGCCTGTACCTTAATAACATGGAGTAGACGCTTCCTTAAATTACATGCACTTCTTTTTTCCCTTTGCATCTTCTCTTGTATTGTTAAAAATGTCCCCTCTAGGACTATAAATATGGAAGGGAGGGCTCTCCCATCCCCACTTACTAGACCACCAAAATCAGAGAAAGCCAATCCTGCATTCTCTTTTCATTCTCTTCTTCATTTCACCCGTGTGCCAACATTTGGAGCATCATAATGTTAGTTGAAGTAGAATTCAATGCAAAATTTAGATTACTTGTTGTAATGTCAAGGTTCAATTTAACAATACTATATTATAGGCGCCAAAGCACTGCTTAGCAGCATCATGATGCATTGGCCTTGACAATTTAGTTTGATAAAAGTTTAGAGTAGACTTGGAGATACTTGGGAGTTTTTTTATGAGTAATGCAGCGGGGGCATGTGTAGAAGGTTATGGTTAGTGTATTTAGTATTGAGTGACCTAATTTGTGAGAGTGGGAGTGTGAATGGAGAGAAGATTCCAAAGAGCAGACTACCTAAGGAAGAAGAAAAGAGTTGGATTAGAGCCAAGAGATAAAAAATCTTACTCTATATTTTCTTATTTACATTCCTTTGTGTTGTTATTCATGTTTAATTCTTTTATCTTCTCTTATGTTATTTATATCTGTATAAACTAAGTTACCTCTCTGCATTTATGACATAATTGAAATTATTTATGTAATTTATGTGTGATTATAAGGAAAGAAAATGTTATATTATTTTGCTTTACATGAATCTTCATTTCGTTGTGCTTTGTCCATATGCTTCTAAAAAATTAGTGTGATCTAGAAATATTGAAAGTCATAGTAGAACAATTAGATTGAAGTAAATATTTTCACAGGTATATAAGCATATAATGTTTGTGAATTTACAATCTTATAAGAGATATCATGCATGGGATCACTTAAAATACTTAGGATAGGAATATATCTAATTGGCCAAAGCGATTAAGTCTTTTAGTTATCCGACATAGACTAGCACATAATTAAGTTCTTGATTGACAACTTAATTTAGAAAAATCTTTATGCATAAAAATACATAGATTTACTTTTGGCAAATCATAAAATGAGAAGCTTTGTCTTCATTTGAAAACAAATAAAATTATAGTTGTGTAGCATAGAATTTAATTGAATAATTTCTTTTAAAAAGGTATTATTGTATGATAAAATTAAGATACAATATAATTAGTAATTAGCTTAAGAAAGTTTGAGTGTGATCCTCATGGGAATGTTACTTGATTTACATATTTATTACTTGAATGATGCATGCACATACATACATTTTATAATCCGGTCTCCCATCTTAGCTTGCTAGTGCGGCCTCATCCCTATTTTCAACAATGAACACATCTTCTAGCTTCACTTCATTTCTCTTTAGTTAATTGGAAATGATAATGACTTGTTAAAGATTATTGGACTTCAACTCAACTTCTTTCATAGTCAACGCTTCAAATTGACCTTTTACCATTTGATGTCATATCTTCTTAACCTAAATTTCTATCTTATACGAGACATGGAGCTTCACTCATGCTTGCTTGACCTAAATATTTAATGTCAGAAACGATCAAAAAAGACATGTCGAAGAATCATACAAGAACATATATTCTAACTTGGGTTTCAAGCATGACTAGATTTTTCAGTTTTTTTCTTAGATCCTTATTAACTAAACTTATGACATATAAGGAAGGAATGAGATCATTTATAGATCCAGATTCACACATGGTACTTGTAAATATTTACCTATGTATAAGATTTTAGATAACCCATGAACATATACATGACATTATATGCTTGAGCTAGTACTCTTTAATATGCATTATTTGGCTTATTAAATCAAATACCTGTGTAAATTTATAAAATCACTCTCTAAACACTACAAGAAATGGCCTTCTCAACATTTTTGGAGAGCTTTAATAACAATTATAACCGCTACAAAAAAGAGTCTAGAGGTTTTAAAATCATTGTAAAATAGTTATCCACTTAGTGATGATAATGATCCAATTTCGAGTTGAGTTGGGGTCGGCTCGAATGGATTGAGTGCAACTCAAAATCATTTCATGGCTCGTTATATACTATTTCAAGCCAGTTCAGCTTAAAATTGAATCGAGTTTGATCCGGCTCAATATCGAAACGCAATGCCACATGCTAGAAGTTTATACATACGATAATTTGTAGCATTTTAAATCATTACAATACAATTTTTTTCAATGAAGCATTTTCTTCCTATTTTCATTAATTGAAATAACCATGATATGTTATGTTTTCTTGTTTCAATGACATTGCAAAGAGAAAATGAAAATCTTTCCATTGGATACTCGGTGCGTCTTAGCACATATGCAATGAGATTTCTCCCTCCGACTTTGTTTGCATTTTTTTTTTTATGAAGAAAGCCTTAATAATGGATGTGTGATTTTCATGAAATGAATCAGGGCACTGTTATGTATGTGGAGCCCGATTTAGTGTTAATTAAGATAACAATTAACCATTTAATTGTTATGGAGAGTCCCGTCACTAATTAAAGAGTAGAAGAAGCAGTTTGGACTGGGGGCTACAGACGGAGAATAAAAAGGGACTTACAAACCTTTTTTTTTCTCTTTTCTTCTTCTCATCAGGCTTACGGCGAGGGCAAAAATCAAAGCAACAGCAAGGTGCTTCTTCTCTTATGACTCACGGCGGAGAGAAACGAGAGAAGGAAAGGAAGCTATTACTTGTGGTGCGTGCGGCTCTCCTTTCGGCTTTAAGTCACAAAAGACCATTTTTGGTGTTCTTCTTCGGACTTTCACGGGGCAGTGGAAGAGAAGTGCAAGGAGGAGTAGTTTCTTGCGGTGAAGAAAGAAGAAGGAAGAAGAAGAAGATTGTTCTCACTAGGCTTCTTCTTGGTGGCTTGTGGCAGAAGAGAAATTAGGTTTATTTCTCTTGTAAGTTTGTCTTTCTTCGGTGTATATCTGTATATCTGTGTAGAGTTTCTTCGGTGCATCTCGGTGTAGAGAGAGAAGAACAGAGAGAAGAAGAGAGAGTAACGAAGTGAGAGTGAAAGATTCCTTTTATAAGTTGAGGCGATCGACTGGTGTAAATTCCTCAAGTAATAAAATCCTCTGCAATTCCGCGGACGAGGTAAATTGTCAAACCACTTAAATTTGTGTGTTCTTTTCTAGTTTGATTTTTCTTGTTCTATTTTTTCGCTTCATCACAACAACTGTTATTAGAGCTTTTGTTCGGATCCGAGGAAGAATGATGACTGCAGATGAAGTGAAGGTTTTAGGGATCGAGAAGTTTGATGGCACAAATTTTGGTTTTTGGAGAATGCAAATAGATGATTATATTTATGGGAAGAAACTTCATCTTCCGTTATTGAGGAAAAGACCTGAAAGGATGGATGAGGCTAAATGGAATTTGTTGGATCGACAAGTTCTGGGGGTTATTCAATTGACCCTATCGAGGCTCGTTGCACACATCGTCGTCAAGGAAAGAACGACTGCAGATCTCATGACAGTCTTATCAGGTATGTATGAAAAGCCATCGGCGAATAACAAGGTGCACATGATGAAGACGTTATTCAACTTGAAGATGACGGAAGATGTTTATGTTGCTAAACACCTGAATGATTTGAATACTATCACAAATCAATTGTCGTCTGTGGAAATTAATTTTGATGATGAGATATGTGCACTGATCTTGTTGACTTTATTGTCAGATAGTTGAGAAGCCATGAGGATAGCAGTTAGCAGTTCTGCAGGTAAATCTAAACTGAAATACGATGATATTCGTGATTTAATTTTAGCTGAGGAAGTTTGCAGGAAAGATTCTGATAATGTCTCAGGTTCGAGTTC